ACTATTTTAATTTCTATACAGGCTCTCCTGTGACATGCAGGCTTTTCTCCAAAGTTACCAGATGACGAACCCTTCCTCCTTAGTAACTGGCTCTAAGCTGAGCTCCCCTCTCTATCGGCCACTCCCTTCCTCTGCCCAGAGCCTGGAGGAAGCTGCTTGTTTGTTGGCTGCAAAGGAGAAGCAGGGATTCACTTGTTTTTCCATTGTGGGAGCAGAACTGAAAACTTCACTTGCTCCTTCCTTCCTTTTAAAAAATAAACATCTTAAAAAAAAAAAAGAAATAACCAGGTGGTTGTGGGTCAAGGTGTGTATTATTTCACGCCATGGGACTGATATGGGTAAGAGACCTCTCTGGCAAAGGAAAGCTGGTTCTTTGAACAAATGAGGTTTTTCCTTGAGGGAGGACAATCCCCAATGGCCTCCCTCTTTCTTTGCCAAGAGGCCTGGTGGTTAAGTAGGGGAGTGGAAGGGCCAGTTCACTGCAGGTGCCCTGTTCCTTCTGGAGCAGGGATGTGGGGAGCTCGTAGGGGAGGGGTCTTTTCTAGAACCGTCTGCTCTTTAACGTGATGTGAGAAAGAAGCTTTTTGAGAGGTGAATCTCAAAGTAGAGGTGTTTTGTGCATCAGATAGTGTTTTAAGGTTTTCAAAAATCTCCTTGAAAACATCTTCACAGGGAATTCTTCACAGGAATAGGGTTTTGGGGAAGAGATAATGTTCCCTCTCTAAACACCACATTTAAAGGTGAAATGCTGCAGTTTTTGCTCCTTTGGGTATTAATTTCTACAAATTCGCAAGCTTGAGAACTGCTGTCCAGAAGTCCTTCCCGATAGGGTAATCCAGAGAATTCTAGGTTTTGAAGCAGAAGAAGAGATTTGCGGAGGCTGCTGTGTAACGCCAGCATACAGAGCACCAGAGGCGGGGAGCGTGTGACATCCAGGCAGGGCCCTGTTGGAGAAAAGCAGGTAACAGCCCTAGCCCGACCCCTGTGAAATTTGGTCATTTTCCGTTTGGCATGGTTTTCCCTCCTTGGCCATTTTTTCCATGTGCTTTTCTTCTTTATCGGCGTTCACCTGCCCTCTCTTCAGCCAGCACCTTGGTCTGGGAAGGAGGGTGGGTGGACCGAGCCCCTCTTCAGGGGAAAGGGGGCAAACTGTGCCGGGCCCCTCTTCAGGCTCTTGGTGGATTCCGTCCAACAACAGGAGACTGTCCCTCTCCTGGAGCTGTCTGATTCCAGCTTGGCCTGGGAATGACCCACGAGTTCAGAGCAGGCGAAAGCGGTACAGAGTCACTCTTGTGTCCAGGGGTCCCAAGTGCTCTCAATGTTCTGTTCTGCTCAAGGGAGACACGAACCACGAGGAAGTCCCTTTCTCTGTGGTGCCCTGGCCGGAGGAGGCCAGAGGGACACAGGGGTGGGGGGTCAGGGAGGCACACGGGGACCACGCCTTATTTACAGTGAGCATGTTGACCACAATTAAAACAGAAGCTTTCACAGTTAGTTCATTTCTGCTTTCCTCTCAGTTCCTGCTGCCTGGTTAACCCTTCCTTGGGGTAAGAAAATTCTTTCCTGGCTGCAAATTAGATTTTAGAAAAAAAGCAGATTGCCAATGGTAGCTATTTAAATTTTACAAGAATGTAGGAATGCAATTATGTAAAAACTTAGGCTTACTAACTTTCCAACTGCTAGATCTATTTAAAGTCTAGGCACTTAGTGTGTATGTGTGTGTGTGTGTGTGTGTATGTGTGTGTGTATGAGAGAGAGAAAGAGAATTTCAAGTGGATTAAGATTAAATTAATCAAATTGCTTTAGAAAATTACCTATTATATCAGTTTACATTCTAAGTAACACTGCTGACCTTGACATTAAAATAGCCCCCTTCTATCCTAGTCTGATATGATTCAAAAGAGATGGACCCTTATTAATTGTCAACTAGAAAAAAGCTACTCCCTGGAAGAGAGATATCTGCCTAAGTCGTGCAAGAATAAACAGCACATCTTTTAAAAAAGATAGCAGGCTTCAGATGAAAACAAGTTCATTCATCTGACTAGTTTTTAAAAGACCATGTTCAAGAACAACTGATGACTAAGTCTACTTGTAAACACTACATCTTTTGTTTTTTGCACAGTTGTAACTGTCCCAAGAACCGTTTTCCACAAGGGAACCTTAGTGTCATTCCTAGCACTCTCCCTGGCTCTAGTCCAGCCTCCTCTGGCAACAACTGGATCATCCCTGGATCTGTGATTAAATCAATTATTTCCTATGCGAAAGTAAAAGGTTAGATGCTGGGACACGGGTGGGAGAAACCATCAAAGAAAGCTCGTGATCATGCAGATGAGTTGGATGCTGAGTGTTTCCAGCCTTCTGCCCGCACACACTGCCGCTCCCTCCCCTGCAGACAGCTCTGGTAGGACACACGCTTCCGCTTGCTCCCTAGCTCCTGGGAGAGTCTCTAGCCCCAGCATCAAATGCAGGTTCCTGGCTGTGCAGGGGGCTGCTGCTTCCGGTTTCTTACTGCTCCTGACTTCTCTTTGTACACTATGGGCATTTGCTGAGAAATGTCCACAAGGGCGCTGGCCACTGCGAGACCTGCGAACCCACAAAGGGAGCACACGTTAAGGAGCAGCTTGCTTCCCCTCCCCCTCCATCCATTTTTATTAGTATTTACTACTTTCTGAAAAAAGGGTCAGTAACAGTTCATATTTATATGGAACAGGTAACAATGCACATTGATAGCTTTGCCCCCGGGCTATATGATCTCTTCTGCGCTCCATCATTATGTAGTATTGAGAGAGCTGAACCATCTAGACATTTCACATGACATCATATTTTTGACTCACTATATTAACTGAGCTGAATAATCAAGAAATGACTAGAACACTAGAGAAAGATAACTGCACTTCAGAGGGGCAGGAAATAAACCATATGAAGATACAGGGGTCTGCCGTTATCTGTTTCACTGGGAGCAGACAGCATTTCTCTTGTCAAAATCCATAATCAAGGAGCAGCTTGCTTTAAAAATGGAAATTAAAAAATTCTTTTCACATCTCCATGGTGCAAAAAAAAAAAAAGGTATAGAGGTAAAAGTCTTACGACTTCCCTGTCCCTCTCTCTGCCCTTCCCCCTCGATCCAAGTAACCTCTTTCATTAGTTTTTATATATCCTTTGAGAGTTTCTTCATGCAAATGATTATTCTTACCCCTCCCGACTTTTACACAAAAGGTGTAGCCTGCTTCTCAGCAGACCAGTGAAGCAAAGTACTCTGCCTGGTGGTAGGAACATTCAAATGAGGTTGCAGACAGGCTCCAAGTGCTAAATCTCCCTACTTGCCTCCAAAAAGGTGTCAAGAAGGAGCATCCCCCCTATGAGAAGACTCAGACCCACCCCACATTGCTCAGTCAGCATCGGTTCTTTTTAAATCTATACCGTGATATAGGTCAGGAAGACTATGGGGTCAGGGTCTGGATTACCAAGGTTCTTTGACTTCCCTGTGCCTCAGTCTCCTCATCTGTAAAATGGGGATAACAAGAGCACAGGGTTATGCTGAGGAGTCACTGAGTGAGTCTGTGGAAAGTACCCAGAACAAGAGCTGGCACGCAGCAAGTGATCAATAACTATTCCCTTTCACTCTCATGGCCACCACCACCTCCATCTGACCTTTGCTTTAGGGACCAGGTGGTTCTATTTCCTTTTTGTATTAGTAACTGTTTAACTAAGGGGCCCTGGTGGCACAATGGTTAAAGCGATCGACTGCTAACCGAAAGGTCGGCAGTTTGAAACCACCAGCTGCTCCATGGGAGAAAGATGAAGCAGTCTGCTTCTGCAGAGATTGACAGACTTGGAAACCCTACGAGTTGGAATCGACTCGACAGCAGTGGGTTTTTTTTTCTTTTAACAGATGAATGACATTTATTAGGGAAGGCACAGTTCTAGGGGAGTTGGATTCATAACGTGTGGAGATAGGACGGCCCAGGCTAAGGTCCCTGCTGAGGCCCTCAGGAGCTGTGTTACTGGCTTGTTACTCTGCCTTGCTAAGCCTATAGAGCAGGGGGGTAGCTCTTAATGGCAAAATACTACTATGTAAAGTGCTTGGTTTAGTGCCTAGCATGCAGTGGGGGATGCACACCAAAGGCACAATGGATGCTATTTGGACATGTTATCAGGAAGGACCAGTCCCTGGAGCAGGACATCATGCTTGGTAAAGTAGAGGGTCAGCAACAAAGAGGAAGACCCTCAATGAGATGGACACACACAGTGGCTGCAACAAGGGGCTCAGGCAGAACAATGATTGTGAGGATGGTGCAGGATCGTTCCCTTGTTCATAGGGTTGCTATGAGTCAGAACTGACTCAACAGGACCTAACAATAACACAAGTTGTAAAAATGTTCATGACAGTTATATGAAAAAAGAAGAAGAAAAATTACATGTGTACAATTGTTACAACTAAATTGCTGGTAAGGGCTGGAAAAGAAAACAGGAAAAATGAACACGGTTGGGTGTTAGGATGGTCAAACTGTGAGTAAATTTTCAAAAGGTTCTTTTATGTTGTTATAGTCATTGCTTATGCTTTATACTTAAAATGAAGTGGAAAAAGCAAGAGAAATGCAGTAGTGCTAGAAATACCAATTTGAGAAACACTAGCTTTGGGGAGATAGCTGGAGGCCATGGGGTAGATAAGATTGATGAGGAAGAGTGTACAGAGTGAGCAGGGAGAAAGCTTAAATTTAGGAGTCAGAAGAAGGAAAAAAGACAGGAAAGGAGCAGTTAGAGATGAAGGGCATCCAGAAATACCAGCAGGAAAGCAAGGTGTGGTCAGAAGCATCAACAACCACTGAGAGGCTGAGGAAGCAGGGGACTGTGAAGAGAACCCTGGACTTTCCTCCTGAGAAGTGAATAGGAATGCAGGAAAAACAGTTTTGGGAACATAAGTGACAATGGAATTATCTCACTAAATCCTTGCAATGATGAGAGGTAGGCACTATTCCATATTGCCTTTATCCCAAGTTTTTTAAGAAAGGGAGGTATCCAATACTCAGCTCCTTCACCATCCAGGCTGTGTTTGCCTCTGACCCTCATCTACTCACCTGACTGTCCAGGAGGGGGGATTCCACCGAGGCCTTGAGGGAGCCTCACAAACACAGAGAGGACAGCAGCTTTGTTGCCAAAACATGGCTCCAGTGCAATGGGCTTGGGAACAGTCTGGTGAAAGAAGACAAAAAATTACCTAAAGCTTTAACATACACAGACAACTTAATGGCCACTCAAGGACAAGGACCATCAATTTTAGGTACATAGAAACAGATACATCATAGTTTTTGAGATAATGAAAATGAAACATTAAAGGTAATAACGATCATTTAACATTAGTGAGACGAGTAATATTGTTGGCTACCTTCCTTTGGTAGATATGTCAGATAATTCTGTGTATCTGGCTCAAACACAGATCCGGAAATATGGAGACTTTTAAAAACTGAAACTCTTTCAGCTGTCCTTAACATACTAAGTAGACCTGCCTGCCACTTGTAAGAGCTGGATGGCTGACCAAATGGATTCCTCACCTACTCTTTGGATGCATTTGGCTCTGAAAAGTACGTCTTCATTTTCTTTTGCAGCCTTTGGATGTAGTTTTTAAAGATGCTCTCTATAATAGTTGCTATTGTTGCGTAACAAATTACCACAAACTTAGTTGCTTAAAACAACACCCGTTTATTATCTCACAGTTCTGTAGGTCAGAAGTCCAGTTGGACTCTGAGGGTTTTCTGCTCAGGGTCTCACAAGACTGAAGTCAAGGCGTCGGCCAGGCTGGGCTCTTATCTTTGAGACGGCGAAGGGGAAGAATCCGCTTCCTAGCTCATTCAAGTTGTTGATAAAATCCAGTTCCTTGAGGCTGTGGGTCTGAGGTCCCCATTTCCTTGCTTTCTGTCAGCGAGGGGCTGCTCTCCTCTCCTAGAGGCCACCTGCATTCCTTCTCACATGACCCCCTCCACCTTCAAACCAGCAATGGTGCTTCTCCCATGCTTCGAATCTCTCTGGCTTCCTCTTTTGTCACCAGCTGGAGAAAACTCTCTCCATGCCTAAAGGACATCTATCTTGGGACTTTTATTACATCTGTAAACTCCCTTTACAGCAACACCTGGAATAGTGTTTGACCGAATAACCATGGGACAGGAGTCTTGGAGACCAACTTTAACACTCTGCCTACCATACTCCCCGGTACGTCATCAGTGAGTTTCTTTAATTCGGGTGAAGAAAATCACTACCAGTACCACTCTGGCTGAGGCACAAGGAACTGACTAAATGGGTGAAATGGCAGAAGTGGGGAAACCAGTTATGAGGCTACAGCAATAATCTAAGTGAGGATGACACTGGCCTAGACCAAGGTGGTAACAGTGATGGAGACAGTGCCAGTTGTTGGGAAATATTTTTGAAGACACAGCCAAAAAGATCTGCTGACAGACTGGATGTCGAATGAGAAAATAGGAGCAAGAGTAAGTCGAGGATAATTCTATGATTTTTGCCTGAGAAACTATAATGATGGAGGCGATATTTACTGAGTGAAGGAAGACATGCCAGAGGAGCAAGTCTGGGGAATAATATCCAGAGCTTGGTTTTGAACATGTTAAGTCTGAGATGCCTGTTAGGACATCCAAGTGGGGACACTGAATAAGCAAATGGATATGAGTCGGAGGCTCATGGGGGAGGTCTGGGTGGAGAGCATCATGGTGTTTAAATCCACAATAGATAAGATCACCAAGGGAGTGGCTGTAAAAGACATGAGAAGAGGCTCATAGATTGAGCCTGGGGTAGGGCACTGTTCAGATGTTGAGATGAAGAGGATCGAGCAAGTAACATTGAGTAAGAACAGCTAGGTGGTGTCTGGAAGAAAAGACTAGTGTTTTAAGGAATGGACAATTGTGTCATATGCTGCTGACATATGAGGCTGTTGTGCGGTACTTTAGGTTTGTCTTTTTTTTTAATCCCACAAATTATTAATTTGTTTTAGATTTATGTACACATTTTCTATTTTATTTACTCATTATTCCTTCTTATACCTCAGTTCATCCTCCCGGGGTAATTTTCTGTCTTTCTAGCATAACCTTGAGGCATTTCTTTTGCACATGTTTGTTGGTTGCAAACTCTCAGTTTTTCTTCTAGTCTGAAGATACTTTATTTCATCCTTGTTCTTGGAAGGTAGTTTGACTGCGCAAACTAGTCTAGGTTGGCAGTTCTTTTCTTTCAGCACTTTGAAGACATTCTTCCCCTCTTTTCTAGTGTCACTAATGAAAAGTCAGCTGTCAGTTTGTCAGTCCTTTGTAAGCGATATGTCTTTTTTTTCTTCTGGCTAATTTTTAGAACTTTTCTTTGTCTTTGGAGTTCTGTAGTTTTACTATGATACATCCAACTGTAGCTTTCTTTCCTTCTTTCTTTCCTGACTTCCTTCTCACTTTCTTTCTTTAATCCTGCCTGTGATGTTTTGCTATCAGAATTTATATATTCATGTCTTCATCAGTTCTAGAAAATTATCAACTACTATCCATCTGAATATTGCTCCCATTCCATGAATTTGTTTTGGAACTCTAATCATACATATGTTGTTGGATCTTCTCATGTTATCCTCTATATTCTTATTTTCTGTCACATCTTCCATCTCCGTATCTCTCTGTGCTGCACTGTGTAAGTTCTTGAGAGTCATCTTCCAGTTCACAAATTCTGTCCCCCTCTATGTCTGATTGCTGTTTAACATGTAAACTGAGGTTTTTTTTGTTTTTTTTAAAATCAATTACTAAATTTTTCATTTCAAGTTGTTCCATTTGGCTGTATTTCAGATCTGCTTGGCTACTGCTGATTCTCACTGACTGCTCATCTTTATGATTTCATCTTTTATTTCTTTAAACATTTCATATTTTGCTATATTATTTAGCTGTCAATTCTAATATCTGGAGTACTGTCTAAATCCATTATCTATTGTTTTTGCTGACTTTTAACTCATGTTGGCTTGCCTTCTTTTGTCCTTGGTAATCTCTGATTGCTTGATCTTGATCTGTGGGACTCCTACAGGGCTGAACTGGGGATGCTTCCCTACAGAAAGGATGTGCATCTACTTTGGCTGGCTGGGAGTCATGGTGTGTTACCAATCTGGAACCACTTTACACCACTCATGGATCTGAGTTTTAGCTCACTGTTTGTTCTTTTTTGGGGGAGGGAAAGGAGGATGATCCCTGGAGATGTCACCTACTTCCTGTGAGCTCATTCATGCTTTAGTAAGTCTGTTTTGTTTAGGATATAGCTGTTTGCATGGTCAGGTTCTCCAGAGTATCTATGTCATCACTTTTCCAAAAGAGAAAGTCCTATCACTCTTCTTCATCTATTTTTTTTTGGGGGGGGTTAGAAATATTTATTTTCCACAAAATACATAGTAAATTATGATTTTGCTCCTTTAAAGAAAATCCCCAAAACATAATTATAAAGAACTATAGTTTGATTTAGCTAGTTCCAAGTGAAAGTTTTAAAGTATTATGCCACATAATACTAACATGAAAATCAGACAAATCATTTACTATTTAAAATTCCCTGAACTTAAGAATGCTTAATGACATAAACCAAAGACTGGAAAAAGAAAGCAAAAGAACACCTGACAGCATCAGTGTTTTGGCTTAATGTTAAATAGAAAGAGAGAGGGAAAAATAAGAGGCAATGGAATAAAGCTCCTGCTCTCTCTGGTTTCCCAGGCATAGAAGTATAAGTTTTCGCAAGTTAAGTTATAGGGGTTTGTGAATCATATTCTCACCTTTATACTCCCCCCAATAAGATCAGGGGGCTCTTCATCTGTTTCCAAGGCAACATTTACAGAAGCAAAGGGACGACTGGCCATCTGTTGCATCTCTCGAAGAAGTTGCTAATGAATAAATAATACAGCAAGCGTTAATATAACAAGTGCTGAGACTTTATAATACTTACAATATGTAATACTTAAAAACTTTTAATACTACATATTAAAAACACCTCATTCTCCCCTAGTCAAACAAATCAAGTCCAAAAAGATATCTTTAGAGATAGCTGGGTAATACTGAACATGGACTAGGTATTAGATAACTTCCAAAAAACTCACTGTCTTCAAGTTGACTCCAACTCATAGTGACCCTATAGGACAGAGTAGAACTGCCCCAGGGGGTTTCCATAATCTTCATGGAAGCAGACTGCCACATCTTTTTCCCACGGAGTGGCTGGTAGGTTCAAACCTCTGACCTTTTGGTTAGCAGCCAAACGCTTATTAACTACTGTGCCACCAGGGCTCCTTTAGATAACATTAGGAATTATTAAATTTTGTTGAATGTGATAATAGTATTGTCATTAAAAAAAGTCCTTATCTGTTACAAATAACATACTGAAGTATTGATGGGTATAATGCTATGATGCCTGCTTGTTAAACAGATAAAATAAATGATGTAACTCAATTTCCTCGTATTTTTATTACTAGATTAAAGCCAGGTTTCCTTCTTTTGCTGAAACTTGAACCAGGTATTTACACAGCAACAAAAACCAGTCCGTCATTTCACAGTTAATAGGAACTGAGTGAACTCTTTATTCAAAGAAGTGGTATAAAGTAAAAGCATAAACAAGCATGAAGTTCATCAGGGAAAAGGGACAAGCAGGAGCTCTGGATTTAGACAGTCTTGGATGTGAATCCCTGCTCCAATGTTGTCCAGCTGTGTGACCTTAAGAGAGGTGTTTGAAGTCTCTAGGCTTCAGTTTCTTCTTCTCTGAAATGAGTTTTTATCCCATAGATTGTCATTAGATCAAATGAGATAATTTAACTGGCACAGTGTGTCTAGCCCATGGCGAGTGATTACTCATATCTCATTAAGGACATGAGAAGTCTTTTGGGCATGTCATTGAAGCTTTGAGAAGCTTTTGTCTCCTATTGTAGGAGACAGAATCTTGGGCTGGAGAGACCATGGCTGTGTTCTAGAAGGACATTGTTATGGTAAAAATTTTCTTCAAACACCAAATATAACATTCCTACACCTCATACAACTGTTGATCCATTCATTGAATATATGCAGCAGCCCTGCTCTGGGTTCTGTATAATTCCAAGTGCTGGGATTTCAGTAAGTGGAGTCCCTACCCTCCTCCAGTTCACATCCTAGTGCCTTTATGAGGCACGCAAGCGACAATGTATGTAAAAGCACTTAGAACAGGGCCTGATATGTAGCAAGGACTTAATGTTAGCTCCTATTATTGTTGTTGTTGTAAAATAACATCAAATCATTCCTTCTACAGTTTTCAGAAGGATTAAATCATGGCTGAGATTTTAGAAATGATGAAATATATTCTGAATGGTCAGGTTCATGGTTACAGAGAAATTCCAAATAGCAAGAGTAAAAGCTTAGTCTATTGGTTGATCAACTGCATAATAGCGTATTTAAAAAAAAAAAAATTTTTTTTCTTTGTGTTCATCTTTTCCTTATTTTCTATTTTATGTACATTACAAACATTTTCCAGCTGGTTGTTTGGCTTCTGTGTAATTTATTTATTTTTGGTATACTTAAGTATTAATTTGTATGCTGGCAAATCTCTACCCTACTGTCTCAAAACTTCTTATTTCTCTTTCTCTTAGTACAATGTCTTGAACATCCAGAGCAAAGTTAAGTGACTGTGGAGACTGCATGAACTGTAGAAGGAAGGATTTGATGTTATTTTACAACAACAGCAGGGAACACTGTTTAAGTCCTTGCTACATGCCAGGCCCTTTTCTAAGTGCTTTTACACACATCATCTCCTGCATGTCTCATAAAGCCACTAGCGTGTGAACTCGGGCAGAGTAGGGATTCTGTCTTATTGAAACCTCAGCACTTGGAATAGCACAAAACCCAGGAACGTGGCCTCGGAAGACAGAAACCATGCTTTTAAAGCTTATCTCTCTCTCTGCCTTAGTAACTGTGTGATGATGGGCAAGTGACTTCGCCTCTCTGAGCCTCAGTTCCCTCATCTGTAAAACAGTGTTAGCAACTACCTATTTCATAGAGTTGTTGTGAAGACTGAATTAGTAACTTCGTTTAAAACTACCCAGAACAGTGCTTGGAACTTAGAAATACTCAAACGTCAGCTCTGATTACGGCTAACCTGTCTGGATTCTATTGATACAACTTCTAGTGTTTTCTTTATTATGACTGATGTTGGTTATCTAAATATTCATTATAGTGTTAATGACATTATTTTTGAATTTATTAAGAGTTTTGTTTTTAAATTAGGAATGGATGTTGAATTTCAATAAATGACTGAATGATTCCTTGGCCTTTACTAAGAATTTAGGTTTTATTTTTTACTGATACACTGTATTCTAGTAGGTTTTCTAATATTAAATGATAAGAACTCAGGCCGATAACCAAAAGGCTGGCAGTTCCAATCTACCAGTCGCTCCTCTGGAAACCCTATGGGGTAGTTCTTCTCTGTCCTATAGGGTTGCTATGAGTTGGAATCGACTTGACGGCAACCAGTTTGGCTTTTCTGCTTTTTTGGTTTTGTTTTTGGTTTTATTACACAGGTAAATTAATTGTTCCACATATATTCATTATGTGACTGGCCTTTATTTTAACTTGTTTTATTTGTTGTTGTTGAGAATATACACAGCCGAACATACACCAATTCAACAATTTCTACATAATTACATTCTTTACATTGACTATATTCTTCAAGTTGTACAACCATTCTCACCCTCCTTTTCTGAATTTTCCTTCCCTGATAACATAATGGTCTTTATTTTTTGGTGCTACCTTTCTCAGGTTTTGGTATCAAGGTTTTTGTCCATAAAATGAATTTAGGAATATTAAGTTTTACATCTTTTCCTTGCTCTGGAATGGCTTATATATTTTAGAAATAATTAATTCTTATAAGCACCCAAGGAGAAACAGACTGTTATTATCTTCATAAGCTTACCTCAATCATGAAACTGCCTGAGTCTAAAGCCCTTCTTGGAAAAAATAATACTTTGACAAGTCCTTCCCTGGTTATTGGTTTATCATAGCTTTCGACTTCTTTCTTACTCCGTTTGGATAACTTGTGTTCTTTTCAGAACATCGTACAATTCATTGGGGTTTTCAAATAT